ATCAAAAGTATGGCATAAAATACAGAAGATAATTTATGGTGAAGATTCAGAGCTCCTCCCTTCAGTATGTTATGTGTTCCTCACTAGCCTCAGAGAAAAAAGGTTGGACTTTCAGGATGTGAAAAACAAAATAAAGCCTTGAGAGAAAGGGAATATATACGATGTTGGGGTTTTTTTTCTTTGCTTTAGTTTTTCCTCTAGGGCATCCTATAGCCTATTATTAATCAAGCATTTTTTTTATTCTTTTCTGGTGTTGTTTTTTATAGTTCTTTTCTGACTAGTCCACTTTCACATGCCTCTCCTATGAGGACAGGCTGAGGGAGTTGGGCTTGTTCAGCCTGGAGAAGAGAAGGCTGCGGGGAGACCTGATTGCGGCCTTTCAGTACCTAAAGGGGGCCTGTAGGAAAGGTGGGGAAAATCTTTTTAGTAGGGCCAGCAGTGACAGGACAAGGGGTAATGGTTTTAAACTAAACCAGGGTAGGTTTAGACTAGATATAAGGAAGAAGTTCTCTACAATGAGGGTGGTGAAACACTGGAACACGTTGCCCAGAGAGGTAGTGGAGGCCCCATCCCTGGAAACCTTCAAGGCCAGGTTGGACGGGGCTCTGAGCAACCTGATCTAGTTAGCAGTGTCCCTGCTCCTGCGGGGGGGTTGGACTAGATGACCTCTAGGGGTCCCTTCCAACCCAAAACATTCTATGATTCTATGATTTAGAAGGGATTCCATTAATTTAAATGTCTTGTCTAATTTGTGTGTTGATTGTGTAGCCACAATAACTGAGTGTTTCTCTTAAGTTGTTGACTGGCTGTACTTATTTTTCTCTAGGCAATTTAGAGTTTAAATATAGGAATTTAAATATGAAAGTTTCAGGGAGGAGTGAAATCTTTTGCAAGTGCAGAATGTCTGAAGTGTGGATTTTCTTGTGTTGGAAAATGCTTTCCCAAGCACTTTCAGGCTTTGAGCAATAAGAATATATGCTGCTTCTTTTTCCAGGCCTACCTTTTCAGTGCTGATAATAGCTTGTTTGGTACTGGTCATGTATAAATTTAATAAGAAAACACTTTTCAGGCTTGTAACTGTAGCCATGTTAGGTTGTGCCTGGCATAGCAATGAGGAGAGGGCTGCCTACCTTATAACCAAATTCTAGAGTAAAAACTTGTAATGGCCTTTGAGTGCACACCTGGCCTTATGAATTTTTAGCAAATTCAGAACTTTGGTTCAGATCCTTCATGTTAACAAAGAGAAGCAGTAACTTCTGAAATAAAACTGTATTATGGTAAGAGTTTCTTTTTGGGTATGAAAGGTCACTCTCTATGTGCTATAGGTGGTTTGGTTTTGGTTTTTTTCCCCATCTAGTATTTGCAATGTGAACATTTCTGAAAATGCAACCATCAATGTTATGTAGGTGAGCCTAAACTATATTTTAAGGAAACTTCACTGGCTGCATGTGAACACAGTTTTCTGTGCCATGCATTGAGGTTGGCAAATGTGACTTCCATTTACAAGGCAGGCCAGAGGGAGGATCTAGGAAACTACAGGCTTGTCAGCCTGCCCTCTGTGCCAGGGAAGGTCGTGGAGTGGGTCATATTGAGTCCCGTCACATGGCACATACAGGACAACCAAAAGATCAGGTCCAGTCACCATGGGTTTATGAAAGGCAGGTCCTGCTTGACCAACCGTATGTCCTTGCATGACGAGGTGACCCGCTTAGTGGATGAGGGAAAGGCTGTGGATGTAGTGTACCTGGACTCCGGTAAAGCCTTTGATGCTGCTTCCCACAGCATTCTGCTTGAGAAACTGGCTCCCCATGGCCTGGACAGGCACACTCTTCACTGAGTAAAAAAACTGGCTGGATGTCTGGGCCCAAAGGATGGTGGTGAATGGAGTTAAATCCAGTTGGGGGCTGGTCACAAGTGGTGTTCCCCAGGACTCAGTGTTGGGGCCAGTTCTGTTTAACACCTTTCTTAATGACCTGGACAAGGGGACTTAGCATACCCTCAGCAAGTTTGCAGGTGACCCTAAGCTGGGTGGAAGTGTTGATCTGCTTGAGGGTAAGAAGGCTCTACAGAGGGATCTGTACAGGCTGGATCAAGGGGTCAAGGCCAATTGTATGAGGTTCAACAAGGCCAAGTGCCAGTTCTTGCACTTGGGTCACAGCAACCCCATGCAACACTACGGGCTTGGGGATGAGTGGAAAGCTGCTTGGCAGAAGAAGACCTGGGGAGTGTTGGTTGATAGCCGCTGGATATGAGCCAGCAGTGTGCCCTGGTGGCCAAGAATGCCAAAAGTATCCTGGCTTGTATCAATGTGGCCAACAGGACCAGGGAAGTCATCATTCCCCTGTACTCGGCATTGGTGAGGCTGCACCTCAAATACTGTTTTCAGTTTTGGGTCCCTCACTTACAAGAAGGACATTGAGGTGCTGGAGCATGTCCAGAGAAGGGCAACAAAGCTGGTGAGGGGTCTGGAGCACAAGTCTTATGAGGAGCAGCTGAGGGAACTGGGGTTGTTCAACCTGGAGAAGAGGAGGCTGAGGGGAGACGTTATTGCCCTCTACAACTGCCTGGTGTTGGTCTCTTCTCCCAAGTTACAAGCGATAATACGAGAGGAAATGGCCTCAAGTTGTGCCAGGGGAGGTTTAGACAGGATATTAGGAAAAATTTCTTCAGGGGTTATCAGGCACTGGAACGGGCTACCCAGGGAAGTGTTTGAGTCCCCATCCCTGGAGGTATTTAAAAGATGGGTAGACGAGGTGCTTAGGAACATGGTTTAGTGGTGGGCAGGTACTGTTGGGCTTGATGATCTTAAAGGTCTTTTCCAACCAAAGGATTCTATGATGACATGAGTATACTTGTTCCAAAATATTCATATTGCGTATCTTTTTTTACTTACAGAAGAAAATGTGGTTTGCATATGGAAATTCTGGGTTTGTTCTGTGCAAAACTCAGAGGCAAAAAAATGTTAGAACGGGCTCAAGAACACACTGCTGAGCACGATATGATCAAGAGTAGAAGTCATGCTGACAGAATCCTCTAATAATCCTTACTTTGTTTTATTCAAAGGGTGAAAAATATCCTACAATCACATGATCTCTTTTTTGCTTTTCAAGAAATATTGTTTGTTATTCTGTGTGTTTGGACTAAAGCCATGCTTGGCTCAAGTAGCTGCAGTTCAGCTGACTTCCAGATAGGTCTGTTCACTTAACAAATGTTGGGCTTAACTCTCAAGATTGGGCCATTCTAGTGATTTACTAATCCATTAAATTTATATTATGTAGAGGTTAATAGTCTAAATAGTTTTAAATGCAACTTCTTAATTATTCACTTTTTTCTCTTTGTATAGATAAGATCCTTGATCTTACGGCTTCAGAGGCTTCAGGAAAAAGCGATAGAGGAAGATGACTATGACAGAGGTGAGAGTTGCTCCCTCCTACCCACCACTGGATCATGTGGCTTTTTTTTTTTAGCTTCTTCCTCCTTCCTCTATTAATTTTATTTTAAATTTGCTACATAGTGATGATTAGGTGTGGAAGACTAGTTCAATTAACTGTATTGTTTATTCTGTTGTATGGCAGGAAACAAATTAAAGAACGAAGTAGGTCAGCAGCAGGTAGCAACAGTTTTTATTTTCTTGAGCCACATTGCCATGTGGGAAGGTTGAAATCTGCATATCCACCATCTGGATTAGCTGTTTTGAAGCAGCATGGCTTTAAAAAAATCCAGAAATGAATGAAAGCTTTGAAAGGAGAAACAACAGGCACTTGCTGCTGAGAGTCTGATTTGTTGCTTGCCACATTTAGTCATGATGCTACAGCAGGGCTCAGACGTGGAAGTGAGGTCAGTAGCTATTGTAAAAGTGAATGAAATTGTGTGGGATTAACTTGATGTCCACTGAGGTGACTGAAGACCAGCTAGAGAATATGGTGGCGATACAGCTGCTGGCAAATATCTGTATTTGAATAGTGCTTTTCCTTTCAAATGCCTTGGTGCTTCTGATAAGCTCTGTGTGTGCGGGCATTGATAATTGGAGCATCTGTTAACACACATTTGGGGTTTCTTATTGTTTCCTGTTACGGTAGTCTATGTTCAGGTACTCATATTTTGATAGTCTTGAGGTTCTAGATTAAATTCTTCCTGCTAGATCTGTCTTCAGTTGGGAAGCCCTGCAAATGTTTCAGTAAAATCTGTGTGGGTACTTCAGAGAATAAGTCTGAAAAAAGTTCCTTTCCTGCCACTTTTTTATTCTCGGCTCTTAGGGGTTGGGGAGTGGTCAGACTTCTAGTTTGCCTTTCAAAATTAATGTGTGAAGCTTTGCAGTTGTACCATGGCTCTGTTTCCCTGCCCCCAAAGGTGTCCCCCAAGATGATTAAAGTGTGTGTTAATAGTGTCTAGGGAGTAAGTGTGTAGCCCTTTTGCGAGAGTGGTTCTGTTGGCCTCTTAAAGGCTTGCCTATAGAGAGGAGAAAAGTTTGCTACTGTCACAAGTCATTCTTTTAGTGTGGCATCTCCCAGTGGGGAACCCCTTTAGGTAAGTTAAAGAATGTTGTAGATATTCATGGGTTTAATCTCTGTCAAATAGACATTATTGATGTGTATGCTTTACATGTGTAACACTCATAACTCTTCTTTTTTTTAAGTGCATGTGGGTTGAGTTCCCAGTTGGAGACTTCCCGACAGCTGTGTACTCAGTGCACGTGGTTCCCACAGATTCCAGCTGGGATTCTCTGGGCAGTCAGCCACTCCAACAGCAGTATCTTAGTGTATCAGGTGTGACATCTGCACGTGATGCCATGTAGTCATTGACCACAGTGGAAAATGATGACTTGTCTAACCTTGCACAGAAAGCTCTTGTGTAGTTTTCCTGGGTGCTAGTTTTGTGTCTTCAAAACAGGACCATCTTTATGTTGTCCATCACTTTTATCAATTGCCCTTTTCAGTTTCCACCCTAGTTATCAGGCAGATAGCATGGAGGGCGCTTTGCAGTCTTGCATTAATTTCCCCTCAGGAAAACGGTCTGGCTGAAATGTGATTTCACCAGGTGGTGTGGGCACAGCTTACAGAGAGCAAAAGTGGCAGCAGTACAAAGGTGGAGAGGAGCATCTGCAGGTGGGATTGCTGTTTTCCGTGCTAAGTCTGGCATATATAGGCAGAAAGCATTTGTCCTGGTATGGGATTAGGTACTGAGGTGCTTGAGACTTTGCCTTGGGTTCCTCCATCCCTTTGAAATCCATCTTCACACAAGCGTTCTCAGAAAATGCCACGCTCCTTTGTGATACATGACCGTGCATTCTTAATTTTATCAGTTCCTAATTTTTGAGCCCTTGACCCACTTTCTGTCATACTGGTCTTTGTTCTTCTTCTGATGCAACTGTCAGGCGGGGGTTTTTTTTGTGACTACTTTTTGTTATTTTCATGATTTCTGAACTGGCTTCCTTAGTTTTTCTCTTCTGAAACACAGGCAGCGTATCTCTGGGGAAAGACTCCCGTGGAGAAGCTGCAGTGTTGCAAAGAGAATTAGAGCTGTGACCTTCCCTCCTCCTCTTGCAGTGGCAAGCTTTCCACCTTTGCTTTTAGAGCTACGTTGCTGCTTCTGGTGGAGAGCAAAGTCTTGCCTGGTGTGACGTGAAGTTTGAAAGCTTATTAAAGAGCTTACAGATTGGCCCAGTACCAATTTCTGTTCAAGTGAAGTCTGTAATTAGCCATCTTTAAAGGGATCTTATTGCCAAATATTGCTAGCAGGGAATGGAATTCTTAAATGTGCAGAGCTGTGATGCAGGGCGTAAATGGAAATACATTAACAGGGAATGGGAGAAACCGACATGGTGTATGCAGAGGGCTGAGGACATTTTAACTGTAACGCTAAAAAGAAAATTACTGTCCCTGTAATTTTGGGGACTTCTTTGAGTGTAGAGCAACTTCTTTGTTAAGAGCAGAACTGGTTTGGACAGGAGATTGTGGTAGTACTGTGTGTGGTGGTAGCGTGGGTCTTGCTGATTTGGGAGTGCTGCAGGGGAAGGGGAGATCTGGTGTGATGTGAGTAGCTGTGAAATGCCCTGTATGTGGAAGAGGTGAGTAGGAAAGGAGAGCGGGTGGAGGTGGGGTATGGGTGGCTATATCCCCAAATGAAAAACTAAATTGTCAATAAATACATCATTATTATTATTATTATTATGTGTAACCGTAGTATTGCTTCAGTGGTAGAGCCTCTTCTGCAACTTCAGCCATAGACAAGAGCCATCCAGTCTTGCGATAGAGGGCTTGGTTTTTAATAGCCCATCAGTGGGAGGGAGATGTGTTAACACTTACAACTCCTCAAAGTGCTCAGGGCTGGTTTCTGCTGCCTGACGCTGCAACTTAGCAACTTCAGGAAAGGCGAGCATCTACTGTCTGACATAGCTGCTTTTCTGCTCTCCGGAGTTTTTTGAAATCTCCCATAGTTTATAGTAACTTTTGGAACTGAGGTGTAAGTGAAGTGGTGCCCCTACAGAGAGGGGAAAGTGATGCACTGTGTTTTCAGCTGTGGCAACGAGACTAGGAAATGGCACAGAAATAAAGCCAGTTTTTCCCACTACAAAGCCACGAACAAATACCTTGTTGCAAACAGGTCAGGAATAAGGATGTATTTCCCCCCCCCCCCCCCACAGAAACACAGAACAGATGCTTGCTGCTTGGGTCTATTAGAGAACATGTGTGTTTTCCAGGTTTATATTAATGAATTAATTAGTAATTAGCATTTATTTCCTAAGCAGGTGATGATTTTTTTTTAAGGGATATTTGAAACCACAACCCTTCATTGCTGTTTAGGAGATAAGTGAATGCCTGTTTAAATTTTCACCTTGTTTCTTCCTAGTTTTTCCTTTTGTAGATGAATCTATTTGCTCTGTCTTCCTCCTGTCCTCGAGCTTGGGAGGTGCACAGCAAAAATGGCTTTTGCTGTTGCTTGTTTACCTGTGCTTTGCCTTCTTAAAGACCTGCCTTGGCATGGTTAGGGTGTTGGTGTAGAGGAGCTTCAATCAGTCATTCAAGCAACTACAGTTTCTTCCTATACTTTCTGGCAGTGCCATATGTATGTGGGGGGGTTATGTTTGTTCTGAGAGCACAGGGGCGCTGCTTGGGGCAGAGGCCACCCTCCTGTCCCATGTTCATGCTCATTGGCTGGAGGTCACCAAGCATGGTGCTGAGAGACCTGCAGGGTGCTCTCTCTTCATATGGTAGCAACCATGGGTTGTTTCAAATGCAGATGTTCCTTGGCTGAGAAATGTTTGTGTGAAATGCATATTCAGTGAGACAAATTTTCTCAGTCCTGCTTTAATTTTAAATGGGAACCGTTAGGATGTTACATGTTTTATTGCTCATTCTGTGTTTGTAGGTAATGAAATATCAGGATGTAGCCTTTTTTCTGTATTTACGTGTGGTCTCCTCTTGATGGCCACATTACTGTATATTTTGAAAGCAGGTACAGTACCATGGGAATATGATAACACTGTTTTGCTTTGCATAGCATATAGTAAAAATTGGTCTGTTCTCCAAGGATCACTTGGAGTGTTGTCATGGCTCATTATTCATGATGGAGCTTGACAGCTCCAAGGTTAAACACACTGCTGAATACGGGAGGTAAAAAAAAAAAAAAAGCAGCATATTTTTGTGTCTGTGGGAGTTGTGCTTGCAGTGGAAGCAAGTGTATTTTGCTCAGTACAAATCTATTGCCCAAACATTTAAAAACCCTGTTCTTGTTCTTTGTTTCTTGAACTCTTCAACCTTGCTTGGTGCAAGGGGCAAATGGATTGGTAACTTCGGTGTCAGGACTGAGTCTTGCTGCCAAACTCCACTACTGGTTCACATGCTATCTTGTTACTCAGAAATAAGTTCCTGCAGAACTACTGCTTTTATTTATTTATTTATCTTAATCCTTGTATGCAGGAATGTGACCGTATAGATTCACTGCTTGCAACTGGTAGGGAATGGTAACTTCCATGTGCAGTCAGATTATATTCACAGTTAGGGTTCTCCAGTGAAGGTCATTGAGCAGATCAGAGCAACTCCTCATCAGTCCAACGTGGCAGCTGGGATATATAAAAATTTACGCTTGTTGTGGCAAAACCTATCCTATCTTGGCAATGAAAATTCATGCTGTAGATACATTTAACATCATGTGAGCCTTCAATTATTTTAATTGAAGTCTTAAAACTTGAGCTATGTGAGTTGGTGAGCTGCCATGGGCTTGTGCGCCGTGTGCTCTGCAGAAAAAATAGTGTTTGTATGCTGTTTTCTTTTCTTTTGCTCTTTGCTCCTGCTCTTCATACCCATTGTCCTTTCCACGTCTCGGGATCTGCAGGGCATCAAGGGCAGAACCCTGTCCTGTGTAGGAGTTGAGGAGTCTCATTTCACACATTTTCTATTAATCACAAGTGTAG